GTTTTTGAAAGTGATTTTTCCAACCAAGTTGATTGGGGTAAAGATAATATATTTGAGGGTGAGGATGATGGATGGTGTTATGATAATTTGAATGAAGAAGCAACAAAAACAATTTGAATGAAGAAGCAACAAAAATTAACACTAACAAATGAATTGTTGAGCTGAAACAATATTTCCCAGTAAGTACCAAATACTATATGTTTTTTATCCGATACTTTAAATGGAATTGCCATTAAACCGAAAGAGCCAATATACAAAGTTCAGAGGTAACATCCACACTAAGTTTACAATCATCACCAAGGGATATTCAAACCCAAAACCAACAACCAAAAGAGGCCAAAAATAACAAAATTTACCACACTAAACAAAAACATTCTTACATACAAAGCCACCTAAACAAAAACTAAGAAAACAAATCTAAAACAACAAATCCTCCAACAAACCAGATGCTCCTACAAAAACATCCAACAAAGCCAAAAGAAAACATTACCACAAACATCCAATATACCTGAGAGTCATCTTCATCATCGTCCACAGACATCACATCATATCTTCATCAGTGCTTTCATCATCCTCTTCACTAGCATCCACATCTTTCTTAGGCTCCAAAATTTTCACCTTTTTCCTACCACCATCAAACTCCTTTCTTTGTCAGCATTAGCTTTAGCAGCAATGAAGAACAAGAGATACATCCAAAACTGGAAAATTTGTGTAAAAAATCTTCTTCAAATGGGTTGTTGGCCCTGTATCTATAGAAATAGACACTTGCACTTTTAAAGTTGTGCAACAACTTGAAATCTCTGAGACTAAGTCAAACTGTTGAGGCAACTTATCAGCAAAGAGTGTTCCAAGAACAAGCTTCTTTCCATCAATATTCACAAACAAGTAGACAGCTTCGTATCCTTTCTCCTTTTTAAGTTCACCAATACAAGCCTGTCGAAAACAGAGAATTTTAATACAGAAAAAGTATCATAAAAAGGAAAGGAAACATTTGTTCATATGAATTGTTTAGGACCTGAGAAATAGTCATCTGCAGACCCTCCGAGGGAGACTGACAACACATCCACCCACATCGTTGATGTACCCGAAAAAGTCATCTTGCAAATAATTTTTCGAACAAGTAAACACGTGAAAGAATTAATAATGGGATGAACTGATCTGAACAAGCCGGTCAACCTCGCTCTCACCAGGAAATAGAGCTGAAATTTCCATATAACTTCTTTAGGAAAAAATTGAGACAACCGCTTTTTAAGGAACTGAAAAAAGAAGACAACCAAAATAACCAACTTGTCTAAGCAACAATCAACAGTTCAGCTAGAACACATCCAACCAACCAAATGCCAATAGCAGTAGTGTATTCTGTAGCACCAAAAGATGAATTTAGGCTCTTATTGGATTAATGTCTAGTAGCAAGAATACAACTAATCCAACACTAAATATTTTCAAGTCTAGACTTCACTCAGTAAGCCCAATTCAATTTCTCCAACCCTACAAAGCCTAATTACCTACCTAGCCCAACTACACTTAAATAAAGCAAATATCAATAAAGTTTATTTAACCTAATACCACTAACACCAAACAGCCCATAGCCCAACAACTTTAACATAATA